GACACTGGGAATGTGTTCTAAACAGCAGGTGTATATCCCAAAATTTGTGTTGTGTTCCCTTTAAGGGGGACAGTTTTGCACACATTTCTGAATACTAAGGGGTTCTCACCCATGCAGGTTGAGGTGCTCTGGGGGTAGTATGGCTAGAGACGGCTGACTTTCAGTACTCTCTGAGTTGATAAATTGTTACTAGGGACCCGGAACTTCGAAAACGCTTAGACTCCATGCAGGGGTTAAGACACAGCCAGGGGAGTGATGAGGCTCCCAAACTGTGGTTAAGGGTGAGCCCTCCGACAAACTGAGACGCTCGTTGCTGAACCCCTGTGGCCAGTCTGGCACCCTTAACAGGGAGGAACTCTAACCCCTGTGTGCAACCAAGAGATTGGCGTGAGCCTGCTATGTAGTTTCGTTGTATCAGAATTTCGGATTGCTACCTGTTTTGCTGAAGAAAGCTATTTTAGTTTGGCTGTTTTGCTTTTACCAATCCGTCTGACTGTCGTTCCTGAGCTACTTCATATCACAATAGGTAAAAGTATCTGGGAAACTATGGTAGACAGCATGTGTGCCTCCTTAACACATTCTATCATTTTTTTTAACTAAAATATTTGCATGCTTTGACCGGCGCCATAACGAGCAGGAGAATACTTAAATACTAGCCCTGACAAGAGTGGATGCAATGCCTTAAAGTCACCAGGAATAAATTGCACAATGACACAATTTCAAAATGGCACAAATTATTTTGGCATGAACTGTCAATGGTTTGCAGTTATTGCAGTTATACAATTCGGGATGCTGATCCAGGTCACATCATTGCCTGCATAAATCAGTTCTGTGATCTGTAATCCTGGTACTTCTAATGGTATTAAAGGTTATCATAGTGAGGCAACAAACTAAGTAGTTGGGTACAATTAAGGCCCAAGAAGGGACTGAAATGAGTCAACCTAGCTTTGTGTTGGATTCCCCCTCTATGTCCTAATGGATTACAAATACAATTTCTATGGACTTTTAACCCTATTGAGCCATGTGGCTGGACCTTCTTCTATTATACAGTATGTTAACTAAGTAGCCAAGATGATAAAAATTATTTTTCCCAATTATTTAATATGATGATACTATGATTATTTTTTTAACATGAACAAACACAGCATAATCAGTGCAATACTTCCTTTAATAATTTCAGGTGAATGCCCTTATTAAATGTTCGTATTTTCCATTGACATTTTCCCCTCTAATATTTTTTTTTCAGGGTCAACTTTGTTTGCAACTGTCAGGCTCGGTTCACACTGCTGTGGCCAGGGGCGTATTTGCCACGAGGAAAACAAGGCACTTGCCTAGGGAGGCACTTTTTAGGGGGGTGGCGACGCGCCTCAGAAGAAGGGACGTCAGTGATGTCACTTACTACAGCAGAAAAATACAGTGAGGAGTGGGAGTATCAGGCCCCCCCTGGACACTGCCATCCTCCGGGATCATCACTCAGTCCTGGCTCCCCACCACCATCCACTGCTGAGAGCTCCAGGAGCTCCGACCCTCAGAGCAGCCTACAGCCTGGCTGGGTGCACTGCATGCTGGGAGTTGTAGTCCTTCCCCTGCCTCTGACCTGCCGCCTCCACAGGAGCGAACTACAATCTTGACAGGCTGTGCGGGGGAAGGACTACAACTCCCAGCATGCAGCGTGCCCCGGCTGTAGGCTGCTCTGAGCTCTCTGCAGTGGATGGTGGTGAGCCAGGGCTGAGAGATGATCCCGGAGGACGGCAGTGTCCAGGGGAGGCAGGGATCTCTGTCACAGAGATGGAAGAGGGAAAGGAAATGTGGTTGTGAGGAGGATACATACCAGCAGTACATGGCTCCCCCCCCCCCTCAGTCTCCACCCCTCCACCAGCCCTGGTGAGTGATCTCCATCCTACTACTGTGTATACCATGTATACTATTGGGGGGGGGGGGCGGAGAGCTGACAGAGACTGACAGAGACTGCCAGAGACTGCTAGGTGACTGACTCATACCACTAACTGACCACCTTCGCACCCTTCGCTCAGACCACTAACTGACACCTAGGCACCACTCCTACCACTAACTGACACCTTCGCACCCCTCATACCACTAATTGACACCTTCGCACCGCTCATACCACTAACTGACACCTAGGCACCACTCATACCACTAACTGACACCTAGGTACTGCTCATACTACTACTAACTGAAAACTAGGCACCGCTCCCACTACCACGAACTGACACCTTCACACCTCTCATACCACTAACTGACAACTTCACACCGCTCATACCACTAACTGACACCTAGGCACCACTCCTACCACTAACTGACACCTAGGCACCTTCGCACCACTCCTACCACTAACTGACACCTTCGCACCACTCATACCACTAACTGACACCTTCGCACCCCTCATACCACTAATTGACACCTTCGCTCCGCTCATACCACTAACTGACACACCTTCGCACCGCTCATACACCGCTCATACCACACTGAACTGACACCTTCGCACCCCTCATACCACTAATTGACACCTTCGCACCACTCATACCACTAACTGACACCTAGGCACGACTCATACCACTAACTGACACCTAGGTACTGCTCATACTACTACTAACTGAAAACTAGGCACCGCTCCTACCACGAACTGACACCTTCGCACCGCTCATACCACTAACTGACACCTTCGCACCCCTCATACCACTAATTGACACCTTCGCACCACTCATACCACTAACTGACACCTAGGCACCACTCATACCACTAACTGACACCTAGGTACTGCTCATACTACTAACTGAAAACTAGGCACCGCTCCTACCACGAACTGACACCTTCACACCTCTCATACCACTAACTGACAACTTCACACCGCTCATACCACTAACTGACACTTTCTCGTCACTCATACCACTAATGACACCTTCTCACCGCTCATACCACTAACTGACACCTTCACAGAAAGATGTGGTCGACCACTAAGTTCCGCTCAGCAAATGGTGCACTAGAGACAGTGGGGGTGCACTAGAGAGGGGAAGCAATTTTTTTGTTGCCTAGGGAAGCACAAAACCTAAATACACCACTGGCTGTGACCCCAGTGGCAGCACCCTCCAGAGTGAAGCTGAGGAGACATCACTCCGTACAGGGGACCGCCCCCTGTACGGAGTGACATCTCTTCAATGTCATCACTTCTGGTGCCGTGCCATCTTTGCGTTCCATGCTGGTTCCAGCAGCGTTTGGACACACACCGCTGCTCCTGTCTTGACTGGGATGACCAATCCACCCACCGGACCACCACGGAAACCTTCCTACATGGTTTTTAAATGCCCAATCATATCTGTCTACTAGTGAGTTCCCAATTTGCTTATAAATGGAACTGTCAATATACTGCACTTAGTCTGGCACCCCTCTGTGTTCTTTTCTCACTATTTATATTATGGACAATTGATGGACTTAGTGTATATCACAATTTATGTTTTGATTGTATGACTATTTGCTCCTTTAGCGCACATCCCCTCTCCTTAATTTTTCTCTAACTGTATTCCTTGCAAAATATTTATACAAGTAGGTAAATATACTCTATAAATTCGCACTTGATTCAATGCATGCACTTCAAAGGAAAAAGCAAAAATATGCCCTGTTTTTATCTTCTACTTTTCTAAACATCATACAATGTTTTCAAGAAATAATACAAAATGGTAGGAAAATAAAAAATGTTTGCTGAGCTTTAATGCTGAACTCCAGGCAGATATAAAACTTCAAATTAATTCAACTTTGTAATTATTTATACATAATTAAAAGGTTTTTTTACATGGAGATGATGTAAGCACATGAATTTGACCTGGCATCAGCCTTTTGCCATCCCTGTACATCAGAGCTCAGAGTGCAAGAGGAAGAAGCAGCACAAGGAGACAATCAGCTGTGTGTGCAGTGCTCATGTGCTAACAAGGAACGGAATGTGCTGATAGGAGGAGAGATCACAGCAACAGACCAATGGGCTAATCAGTCCGCTGCTTCTGATTTCACTGTCCAATTAAGTCAAGACCAGTAAATATTATTTAGATACAACAAAAAAAAAAAGCATGCCTCATGTCCTGCCAAGCAAGGATGTGCTTTATTGGAGAGCTATGTATCTCATGATGAGATAGAAAGGAATATAGAGGGAGATTTACAAAAGCTGGCTCACCCAGAATCTGGTGCATCTGCGCATGGTAGCCAATCAGCTTCTAACCTCAGCTTGTTCAGTTAAAGTTTGGCAATAAAACCTGGAAGCTGATTGGTTTCTATGCAGAATGCACCTGCTTTTGTACTCTCCAGCTTTAGTAAATAAACCCCATAGCTCCTTTGGAAGGTAAAACAGCCTTTCATTTGTGTATTGTGTATGGGAATACTAAAAGGTCTTAGTTATGTTCACATACACATGGATGTGAAGCCCTGCAGTGCCCTTCATGATTCTACTAGGCTTTTGGCTGAAAAATTACAACTCAACAGTAGACCTTTTATCCATTGGAAGCCCTCTGTTAATATATGCAAAATACCTTAATGTCAAATTCCAGTCAAAACTTTTGTTTTACTGTCTGTGTCCATGTTGAAGAGAACTCATTTTGCTTCCCTACTCGGGAAAGCTAAATGAGAAACTTGGGTTATTTTTTGTTGGCCATAGAACCAACAATTTTCTAGCACTTTTCTAGCAATTTTAACAATGTTTTGTGTCTGCCTGACTACTACAATTAACCTGATTGATTGAGGAAACCTACCACCAACAAATTCAACTGAGTCATATGTTAATTAGAAACATTGGTGGTAGGTCATCTTGATCTTCAATTGTTTTTGTGAATGAAAGCCAGGTAAATATGGTTGAAATTAGAACATTGCCCAAGTATACCACCAACACAACAGTTGCTAAGCTCAAAGTGACCAAGTGACAAACTTGCCTAGAAATGCTAGAAAATAAACCTTATAATTAATTCACAAAAACCTACAGCATTTTTTTTTTTCATTACCTTTTTCAGTGTTTTCCTTGATTTCCAAAGAATCAATCTTCTCTTCTAAGCATATACCAGATCCCTCTTTACTTTCACTTGGACACACTGGATTATTCTCACGTGTTTCACATGCTGTAAATGTATCCATTTGATCTATAATATTGGTTAGCTGTGGTATTTCAGGAAGTCTATCTCCATTGCATTCAGAGATCTGGATTTCGTCTGCCATTATACGTGTCTTAAAGATAACTGTAAATCCTTACTGTGAAACTTGACAATGTTGAATAATTATGAATAAATGATAGCCTTGGTTTCTTAGTTGGATTAGGACTTCTGAAGCAAAGGCTCACAGCTTAAACAAACAGGGTCCAATGACATTATGGAGATTAAAGTGATCTCCAGCAAAACACCATTCTTCCAGAGATGTTACCCCACGCGTTTCTCGGAGTTAGCATGAATCATTGTAGACACATTTGTCTTTCTTATAAGGGGACTGGTAGTGTAATAAAGCTTTTGTGTGAGCAGCCTGTAGTTATTACAAATTTTAGGCCAATAGCAGTGGAGATTTTCAGTTTCTACAAGAATGGCTCATTGTGCTTTGATTGTAAACAAGAGAAACAATTGTTCTTAATCTTTAATCCAAAGCAAATGACCACTGCTAGTCACATTAGGTCTCGGCAACCAGCTTACAATTCAACACTAACCATTCTGTTCTATTAATCTGCTCAGGAACGTCATTAGACAAATGCTCCAAATTTGAAACACTAATTACTTCAATATGCTCATTGAACTTTTGACACAATAAAAAAAAAGGTACATTTACCAAGCTGTGGCTATTGGTAATAGATCAGTCATATCATTGAATAACTTGGAATAGCAGTTAAATGTCATGGATGGTGGTATGTAATATGTGATGTGATACTGCTAATGTCTGCTATTTCAGTGTTTGCCTAGAGGGGTGGTTCACCTTTTCAGAAAAAATGACAAAATTTAAAAAAGGTAAACTAAAGCCAGTCATAGATGGTTCGAATCTTGGCTGGTTTGATTGTTGTACAACTTGGGTACAATCAGCCTGTAGGATATTTCATGTGATTATTGCCAGCAGCAATAGCCACTATCAATAATCTCTGTGTTTTCTTGGAAGGGATGGCTCGCCCACCGTACCTCCAAAGGATTGGCCTGCATTCCACCAACAGGAAGCTTGGGCTGAACATGACGGCAAACCAGAACCAGAAGTGACGACAGCCATGGACGCGGTGAGTGAGACTAGTCGAGGTCCCACAGCTGTCATCACTTCCTGTTTCGGATTGATGTCACGTCCAGTCCGAACTTCCTGCTGGTGGAACACACGCCGATCCTTTTGAGCTATGGGGGTGCTAATACTTGCAAGGCTGTTTACATTAGTGCCGAGTCTGGGCACAAATACAAGTGAGTGCTATTACTTTATTACCTTTGTTCATCTTTTATAATAAAAAACTACACTACACTATATTACTTTTCTGGTTTGATGTTGTGGTGTCTTTAGACTGATGATTGGAGATATATGGAGATTATAGAAGATCTACTGGAGAGTGGTGTGACCATTTTGGAGGATACACAGTATATTATCCCAAAGTGCTAGTTGACCTTTAGTGAAATAGTTTGGTGAGTGTGCACTTCTCACAGAGGTGGGGATTTGTGGTGGCACTATTAGAAGATTATCTATCAAGGCACAAAAGATTTAAACGCACGGCGTGGTGAGCATAGTGCATGTTGATGGATTTTATTGGATCATAGAACATATTTATGGAGTTCATGATCATTATTGATTTTTGATTCATGTAGAGATTTAATTGTGTTAGCGCCTCATACATCCTTTTTTTAATTTCACAATAAGAGTGGATAATATATTTCTTCACTTCACAGTAGCTTCATGGTTTACTTTAAATTAGAAGCAGGTGTCTTTATATATAATTAATTGTTAACCAAGTTAGTCCCTCTATGGTTTCCTATGGTCACTTGGGAGCAGCTGTCTGATTAGAAGCTGGGCCCCTTGTGACCACTGTGGCCATATTAGGTGAGGGCAGAGCTTATTTAAGCCTCTGGCCCCATGACATGGCACATATTTTGTGAATGGCAGGGGCAGGTTCCCTGCCTGTTAGTGGCAGCACTTAGCATCAGGGAAAGGTTCCAGAAGAGTAGGGAAAGTGCAGGGACTATGTCTTCCTCTCTGGAGAAGTTTCCCAGTTGGGTTGGACAAGCCAGGCCTCACTTTCACTCCTCCAAGTTATAGAATCACTGCTGTGCTCACCCACTGGGCCTGTTTTGTACCTTGTTGGAATGTTTAAAATGTAGTTACCCCACTCTGCCTCTGTGTGCTCTATGCCTCTGACACCACACTTCACCCCTTTTTCAACAGGGATTTTAAATCCCTGCTCTTCTCTCTTCTTCTCCTTGTCCCTGAAGGGCTTCTAGGACAGATCAGAATGATTCTCTGTGCTGGCGCTAACTAATCAGAATCACTATGATCTCTCCTAGAAGCCCTACAGAAAGAAGGGAGGTCTTAGATTCCCAGACCACATCACCTACTGCATGGGTACTGACAGGTCATCACGCATTGAACTAAGTCGAGCAGGAACCAGGGTGGTGGAGAGGGTGTGGGGGAGTTAGATCATTTAATTTTTTCTGAAAAGGTGAACTCATACAAAACAAAACTCTGCCTCTACTCCAGCAAAGCAATGTCCATCACTGGCACCACCATCTTCCCTCTGTCTTCTTTCAGGTTCAAATCTCCAACCATGTTGATTGGCCGGCAAGAGATGACATACGTCCCACGCAGGCGCATGGGAGTTAATGTGTAATATATTATGCGATATTAAAGAGATATTATAATGCTTACACTTCTTAACAACTAGAGAAAAGTAAGTAATTTTCCTTTTACTTTATTCTTTGCAAAAAAGTAAGTAAAATGGAATTATAAATGAGCCCCCGCCCCCACCCAACAAAAAAAAACACACACACACACACACAGTTTTTAGCTTTTATGATGATGGTTTACTAAAGACTTAGGGAGTGAGATCTCATTTGGCTTCTGTCAACCAATTAAGTGCAAGCAAAACCACTGTTGTTGTCTTTTGCATGTTATTGGGTATTATTTGCAAAGTAAAGTTTCACCACATTCACTAAGATCTGGGGAACATTTCCTTGCAAAGTGAGCAGCATATTACCCCTATGACATTTATCAAAAATGACAGGAAAATATAGCATATATGGTGATCTTTAAAGCTCAACCCCTGACAAATATAAAAATGAAAAGTTCAGCTCTCTAATCATTAATACATCATACATTTGTGTAGAAATATTATATGCATGTGACCAGGGGCAGACTGACAAGTCATGGGGCCCCGGGCAATAGGGGATCATGGGGCCCCTGTGTCCTTGCCCAAATTTAAAAAAGCCTATGAAAAAGGTACCAGGGGCATTTCATGGGACCCCCTACTGACCCCGGGCCCTCTGGCAGTGCCTGAGTTTCCAAATAGTCAGTCCGCCCCTGCATGTGACGTATGTACTTGAATGTGGCCTGGTATCAGCCTTTTGCAATTCCTGTACAGCAGAGCTCAAATTCACGTTCATCTCTGTAGACAAAAATCCTTGCACCGGCCTTGGATATGACCACCAGTTCCTGACCGCCTAAACACTAATATTGTTTCTTGTTCTCAAGAAGAAGCAAACAGTGAAACGCGTTGAGATTGATTGGGCACAACACATAGAAGTTTGTTATGCAACATATGTATTCATCAGAAATAGGTGAAAATATCTTGATTTTCATTGGATATTTATTCTGCATTGCTATATTGCGTAGCATTGAGGCAGTTAACATTGACATGATTTTATATGTATCTTACAATGTTCAAAGACTGCTATTGAATTACCATTTTTATGTCTGCACATATGTAATAAATACTACAGTTTATTTTATGTAATAACTTGTGCGGTATGTGTTCTTTGCACCTACAAATTTAATTATCAAATTAAAAAATATACAGTATTTTGAAATATGTGATCTATACAGGGATGCAATGCCCAACAGTCACCATCTGCACAAAGAAACTGTATACCCCATTGTAGCAAAAATAAAAAAAAAATCACCCAGACACTCCTGAACCATGCAGTATGCATCTCTCAAAAAAGTACTGAAACAATAAAACTATTGATTATGGTCTCAGAAGGTTCCTATTAAGGCTAAATGTTTATTTCAGCAGAGTTAAAATGCAAAATATTGGTTACACATTTCAGATGTTACACTCCTCAACCAAGGATGATTAGGACTTCAACGTCTGGAATACATAATGATCTTTTTTCTTTTGACTCTGTGGGAATAAACATGGCTTTTACAGGATGTAGTGGTCAGAACCTTTCCCAAAATTGTAAGCAGGTTACATTTGGAGATGAAAACAACCCACTGTGGCATAGAAAGCTTGTTTGAACAAGAAATAATTACATAAATTCTAGATGCATTAGTAGTAGTCACTCATTTTCATCTGCTTTAATTGTTAGATTTATGATTTCTCTCTTGACACATTAACATGCCTATATTATTATATAGTTCAAGTAATTACTTAGCTTTAAAGTTGTTTTATTGGGAGTTTTCACACCCATCATCCCAGTTTAGGGAGCCTTAACGATTAAAAAAATGGAATGGAATGCATCATTCACCTAATAATGTTCTCCTGGATAATAAGCAATGCCAAAAGCATGTATGCCAGAGTCATTTATGTGTTTTTTTTTACAGGGAGCAATTGCACAATGCATTTATAGGAATTATAAGCAGGGAACATGAATACCCTGCGGATGGTACAGATTATTTTCAGGTCATTTTCAATAAGCAACACATTTCATTTTAAAATACTCAAACTGTCCGTAAAAGCTTTGTATTTGTATTTAAAAAAGAGAACATTTTAATAACTGTAATCGATTTTAGTGGCCAATGGGTATCATTTTAAAAATGAAAGGGTGAAAGTGAACATAACTGGTACTAGCACCCACAAGTCTGTCCACCACCAGAATTAATTTGATTGTGAAGTCAAAACCGGGCAATAAACAAATGAACAATCACTGGTCCCTTAGTCTATTGCATCACATCCTCTATAGCACAATATATAGAAAAACTCTTTAATTATTGGGATTTTTAAGGTGCTAATTTAAACATGTAAAAGAAAATGATCTAAAATATCAAATAACCTATTTAAA